AGCTTCGTTGGGTTTCCCGTGTCCAGAGTCCACGTGGCTTAATTGCGACACCCAAGAACAAGCATCCAGGGGCCACCCTTGCTACTTGGTCTGGGTTGGCTGGGCTGATCAAGGGGCCACCCCGGTATTTTGTGCAGGTATTTTGCCATCATACGGCAGCCGGGGATGTCCGGCGATTGGCCAATATTGAGATTGCGATTCGGGGGGGGGGGGGGGGGGGTTAATCATTCCCGCGTCCAACGCTGGCCTGCAGGAGCTTTGCGCTCCAATCTACCCGTGCGCTTGATCTGAACGCTTGGCCCATGCCTAGGCCCCCCACTAGGCCACGTCGAATTTCCCGTGTGAGGGAATGACGTCAGATAGGCCTCGCATGCTGCACATGCAGCTAACAATCCCCTAGAGAGCGCACTGTCACGGCATTACATTCTGGAAATTCGGACGGATCAAGAGCTCATTAGGTCGATTTATCATTCTAAAGCTGTTTGCCGCCTTTAATAATCTTGTAGAGAACTGCGTCAACGATGCCAACAACGGTGAACGTTCCACCTATAATAGCACACACGGATGTGACAAAGTCATACCAACGGCGGCCCTTGCTAGATACTAGAACCTATAAGAATTCACCATAATGCTTTGCTCGTCCAATGCGACCTTTATACACTGATAGAAACCGCCATGGGCGAGAGGTCATAAGAGAATTTCGCCTCTGGGACATCCATTTCATTGTAGTGCATAATCTGAGATTGCGCAAGCATCTGATACCCCACTATTTCGCGTGATTTAGTCATCATACCCCCGACCTGAGAGACACCCGTTCTTGCATATTACAACAAGAGTGCATCCTTGCCTCAAAATGTGTGGAAACTACCTTTGAATAATGATGATGTACTTGGTGATAGTCCCTGCTCACAAAAATACCACCATCCAAAGGATGAACAGACTGGAACTGTGGGTACTTCGAAACCTTTCGCTGCATGTCCTTAGCAAGGGGTGTCCCAAAGCTCAAATGATTGACAACATGGGAAAGATTGGTCATAGCAGCATTTAAATTATGGTGAATGGAACGGGCCTCAATGTGAAAATTACCTGGAACGCGGTTTACAAGCACGTGACCCGACACCATGCAACCCGGGTGTTCCTTGATCTCAAGCATACGCTGCTTTCGGCGCGGATGCCAGTCTTCCATTGTTTTTTCAAGCTCAACTTTTTGCTTGAGGAAGTCGACCATAGCGGCAACAGTGCGATCTTGCTTGTAATCAATTCCATACTGCTGTGCATCCTTGAAAAAGCGAAGAGTGGGGAAAGCCTGGATACGTTGTGTGCCACAGAGGTTGCGGTTTGCCACGCAGTCTACTTTAACAACATCGACATCGATGGATGTAGACCGTTCATCCACCTGTTCAACCTCCCGATTCAATCGTTCGACCTCCTCCGCCATGGCCTCCCATGTTGGTTCAAGACGTTGGCACCATATGCACCATGGCGCGAAGAAGTTGACAAATACATAAGGGTTTTCAGATAGGAAGCTTTCAAAGTTTGTTTCGTCCAAAGGCATAGCATGAACACCATTTTTATGCAGTTCTTCGATTTCTGGATGGTGCCTATGTAAGCCAGTTGCACATCCAGTGGGGCTCTAAAGAGTGGCGGACTCAGTGCGTGCTCGTCATGTTGGATGGCCTTTTGCTCACGATTCCGGCCCTGAAAAATCATTCGCTTCCCAGTTTCATCTAATTGCCACTTCTCCACATTTTTTGTTACGTTCATTGAGTTGGTGCCAAGTACATCAACAACATCGACAGCAGCATAGTCACAACGCAAGTCTAGCATTGTCACGTTGAAATTGATTCTTAACCT